TTGCGGGAGTCCCCTGGCAGTGCCCAACAGGGGGGACACTGACGGGGGGAAATGGAGATTTCAGCGGTATTTTGTAAACGGATGTCACCACCTGGAAAGGTCCAGAAATTCGGTCATCCACCGTCTCCAAACCGGACTACACCGGCGCAATTTGTGTACGACAGGGATATGTGGCCATGTGTTGGCAGTTGTGGGGGGGGGGGCTCCCTTCCCCCATGAGGTGAGTTCCCCATGGCCTGAAGTAGTCACTAAGTCGTGACCTGGCCATTCACCGAACACATGCCTGTCCCCCCCCCCCCCCGGTTGCAGAGGTGAGCGTCAAACATGCCTCCCCTGCTGCAGGGTAGACATCCGCCCAGGGAGGGTGAGGAGCCACCACCTGGCTCTTACCTCCCTGGGGGCACGCCCCTACCCTCCCCTCCCATGGAAGGGTATAAGCGCTTGCCTCCTGGCTGACTCTGGCGAGCGGACGACGTCCTAGGGCGTTGTGTTTTCTGTGCTTGGGGTGCCCTCCGTTTGCCCATGGCAGGACCAACTGGCTAGCGGATTCGATCTGAACCCTCTGGTTCATTGCACTCCAAAGCTCCGAGACTGTACCCACCATTCCCTGAACTAAGAGGGTGGAGGATGTCCAGTCTACGTCACTGAGGTGAATGACGTACCCCGGCACAGCTTGTCAGCAAAAACACGTGCGTCTAAGGCCGCGTCCTGTAGCAAGGTAGTGGCCATGGCCAAGAGAGCCAGGCGACACTAGAGGGTGTCGCATGCTAGATGTGCGGTGACCCACCATTAAAAATGTCGCCTGGTCTAGGAGGCTGGTGCGTTCTGCCTCCAAGGTCTCCAGAGTGCTGGTCACACATAATAATGTGCTCAAGCAACTCTGCCCTCAGGGCTGGATGGGTCGTCTTCAATTGGCAAAGACACCCATGGAACGTGGCTATCTCCCTTTGCCCGGTTTGCCAAATTCGTGGTACCGGGGTCTGGGGAAGGAGCCTTGGAATCCGGTTGGGGGCATTTTGGTCTCATGGGGTCTGATCCCGAAACCACACCGACCGGGTAGCATTTGGTCCAGTGGGAAGTGTTGCCTAATGTTATCCCCACCCGGGGGCCTTAAGCATTACATCCTCCACGGCTGACCAATGCCGCCTATCAACACCGTTTGCGCACTCAGGTGGACAGGGAGAGACTTGCCGACGGGGTTGCTTTGGATCCCGACGCCTGTGATCCCATAAGCGTTGAAGCAACCTTAGGTGGTCGCTCTAGGATCAAGGGTGGGGGTATATACATCGTATCACTGGGATCGATGATACTCCGCCTCACCCCAAAGCGTGGCTCACCGAGTCATATAAATGGAAGACTCTGAGGGACTGCCCGTAGTACCGGCTGTATCCGACGCGAGCGAACTGCATCTCCTTTCACTTTAAATATGTGAGAGGGAGCGTATTCGACTGTGCGTCTCATCACAGGGTCGGTTTCCTCTGGGGACGCCCGTGGGTCGGAAGAAAGAGTCAAACCCTACAGCGGAACCGGACACAAGGAAAATTCATTAGCGTGTACCGTTACCGCGTGACGAACCTCTAGCTGGCTGAAAGT